TGATAACACAGCTGAACGTACAAGAAACATCCTTGAGTCTTTAACACAGATGGTCTTTTGTGTCTATTGTGTTCCTGGTTTAGCTTTTTACAGGTTGGAGATCAGCTCCTAATAACTTAGGGCGACCTCACCTCTAGGCATCAGGTCGCCATCCATATCTGGATACAAATACAAGGCTTTCTTTGACGCACACACTAAGGCCATCCATATCTGGAAGTAGATACTATGTTTCTTTGACGCATGTATTTAGAATTGTCTATTTCTGTTGTAACCAATGAGAACTGTTTACCTGGATCCCACCCTTTCTGGACTTGTGTAAAGAGTATAATTGTTCGATTGTTGAAACTGTAAGCAGAGCGGCCTAGGAACTCATTGCGAGTGTTGAAGCTGGCTTCTGCGAATGAAACTGCAAACTATCTTCAGTAAACTTCATTTATTTTTTTAAATCTCTGACTCCGGCTCTTCTTCATCTACCAGACTGGTCATTCTTTGGGTTAAACTGTAAATTATCCCTACACTATATTGGAGGTATGTATTTAATTGTTGTTTACTCGGGTATTCTGACTGTACTAAAATGTGAAAACTGAAAATTCTGTGACCATTAACTCACTTTTACTTGTTCCAAACAAGATTTTATTTATTTTTTTTCTGATGTTGAACAATAATATCCAATAACTTATAATCTCTTTGGTTGTTGAAAACAGTAAATGCTGAATTAAGATTGTTCTTTTGTTTATTGTTTTATTTTTTATATTGTCAGACAGCTAAAAAATTTCACTATGTGTTAAATCAGCTGCGCAAAGCGATTGGCATACAAAAAATCTTGTAAAATTGATAAATATAAAGATTTTACGTTTATCGTGATAAATATCGATATCAACTGATATGTAAAAAATTATTGTGATATTTTTTTTGCCATATCGCCCAGCTCTACTATACAGTAGCGAGAACAACATCAACTGCATTACAAGTTCAAAACAAAAACAACACCTGGTACCGTTTAAACCATTGTACCAGATTTCCTAAGAAACAGTAAAAAAAAAATGTAGCAATCTAGCACAGGAAGTACATAAGCAGCATAAAACAAGTAATGACTCTCTTGAATTTCATCATGGACAACATGAACTGGTTGGAGGAGAAACAGCGGACCTGTCGATTTATGTAAAACCGCCGGCCTCTGGGGAACAACAGGAGGACCCTACTATGGAAGGAAATCATGCTACGGTCAATGATAATACAGAATGCATATGTGAACATGAGTAAAGAGATAATCTTTCCCCAGATGAAGGACAATCGGATAATGGAATGGAATGAGACCTATCAACAATCGACTTCTCAGCCTTACTAGAAAGGGAAAAGCTGACCGATAAGCTGAAGGGGACTACTGCTGCATCAATATTACAAAAATTAACCTCCAGAGGTGGATGTTAGTCAAGAAAAATGCTGGACAAGACAAAAACTTGAGTAACTGGTTTGCCTCCATATTTAGATCTTGGGGACAATGGTTGATAAAGTTGTAGAGTACTTGGAGGTTACCATACTTGTTTTTGCTTAACTTTAACAGTGCTGCTGCCACACACATGGTTACTGTGCAAGTACAAGGAACCGTGCAAGCCCACCACAACAGTGACTATGGCTATGAAAATATGCTTCCAAAATCCTCAGATTGGTCCATTGATGAGAACGTTACCCCAAACCTGCTTGAATGAGTATCAAACCTTTTTTTTCTTTTGTTTTTGAGTGTGCCGTTATTCTTGTTTTTATGTTATTCCTGTTTTGTGGAAAAGTAAGGGAGATTTTCAAGCGTAGACAGACCTTTAGAATAATGAATAGTGTAGGCAGGTAGTTAGAGGATATTTTGTTTTTTTATTTTGGCACTTAGACTCTTACATATATATGCCAAAAATTATTCCTATACTATGCAAGTAATCTTATGTTGTTTTCTATTTTCTTTTTCCTCTCGTTCTTTTTTATCAGAATGACATGAATGAAAAGAGGGTTTCAAGCAGGTCATTATCTGTGCTACGAGACAGAAGTGCAAACAGAAGGACCTGAAATTAAGGATATTAATCCTATAATCTACAATATTATCTTTTAATACTATATTGGTTATGTTTCTGGGTATAAAATGGACATTTATCGAAGCTGCAGGGTTCACATACTCACAGGGAAAAAGGACTTGAACTGAGTGCTTAATGGAACCAACTGTCACGACCCGGCTCAAAGGCAATGACAAAATCAAAGGGACGACATACACCAGATGGTTTGGTACCAAAAGTATTTATTTAAACATTAACGAATAATAAAGTGCTCACTTTAGGTAAGCCAAAATCAAAGATTAACCAAAGCTAAAAAGAAACTAAACAAAACAAACAGGAGCAAAAGCACGGCTTTCCAGAAGCCGACACTGCTGGCTTTTATAGAGGGGAACTCAGGTGTTCCCAATTGAGCAGATGAGTCTCTGTCCTTCCCGCTTTCGGCCGATGAGTGGGTGGGTTAAAGAGACTTGTCACACCAACGATCATCTTGAAGCTGGCGAATGCTGTAAGAGTAGGCTCTACTGATGGCTTAAAAGCCTGCTGCTCGCTCCAACACCAGACAGTACTTAGTAGTACCTCTGGCAATGTGGGAGCAATCATCTTAAGACCAGGAGACAGTATCTTTTACTCCTTTCTAATCAAATAAAGGGGGGGGATGTTTGGTTCCGCCTCTCCACTGGAGTGCAGCATAGGGAGGTTGACATTTGGTAAAGACTGTGAAAGGCAACTTTTTGTTGCATTAGTGAGGTTGATTGTACTGATATGTTGGTACCTTATGCTGCATTCCGGTTGAGGGTTAGGAAAGAGACTTTCTTCTGATATAGTCCCTCTAAAGGCTGATTTATACTTCTGCGTCAAGCCCATGCTTATGCTACGGCGCTGACGCATAGCCCTACGCCGTGGCCGTCGATGTTGCTGACGTGCACCTCTCAAAAAATTTAACTACACGTCGTGCGCAAGCTCTGTGATTAGTCGGCTTAGTAGCGCTGACGAGTCTGATTGGGACTGAGAGCCTTGCAGGCCCAATAGAGCGATTGTTTACAAGTGTGAAGTCCCGTGAGGAAGCTCCAGATAAAAAGTTTGTTTTGTGTTTACCTCATAGTAAAGTTGTTGCACGTCCGCCGGTTTCTGCTTAAAAAAAGAGCGAGTTTGAGTCACTTGTACATTCAGGAAGTGTTCAGGAAAAAAAAAGCACCAGCGAAGAAACTCAACACAGAGGAACATTTATACCTCACTGCCAACTAGCGTTTCGGAAGTGTTAATGCAGACCAACAGAGACAGCGCGCAGAAGTATAAATGCACAGCTACGCGTTGAATATTTAGCAGACCAGAATATTTTTTCCACAACAATTTACAATCACTTGTCCAACTGTCTTTGAATAAATCATAAGGTATGAACTCCTATTTTACAAACATACAAGGGCAATTAATGTCTATTTGCTCCGTGCGCTGCTCCAGATAGACAAACAAGCTACATCATCCTTTACCTTAGGTTCTTCGCAACAATATTAGTCCATTTTCAGCTTTTTCTGTTCTTGTGTGAATGAGTAATCCCCTGCTATGTCTTGTAAGTGCCAAATGCAACAAATTTGGGTCATGAATTTCCAACATTCAAAAAAATACGATAACGTATTTACAAAATGACCCTTTTTTTTATACTAGTCATTTTTCAAAATCTTTTGTTAGACTTTGCACATTACTTTTCTAAAATATCTATTTATATATAATTGCAGTTTATATATATTTGTACATTATTTATTTTACATTTAATGTGTGAAGGCCGTTTGGACATTGAAAAATAAAATGGAAAAAAGTACTACTGTGCCATTTGCTTTTTTGATATAGTGTTATGATTTTGATGTGGTTATGAAAAAGTAAAATTATGATTTTTGTGATAATAACCCTTGTAATATCTTGTTTTTCACTTTTGACAGGTAGGAAACTTGTGTTGTTTTTTCCCACCCTTCGGTTAAACTAAAATGATTCTTGCATACTACTGACATATGCTGGTAACAAACAAAAACTGTCCTCAGTTTGATAGAACACACAGGGCCTGAGTTATGCACTAAGACTTGCTTTAAAACAAAAAAAAAACAAAGCTGTTTGTGTTGAGGTGGTTCATCATAGGACAGAAAACATATATAAAAATAGTTAGCATTTAACAGCAGTGTTTGTTGTAATTTCAAAGGGTTTTCTTTAAAATGACATCAAGATATTGCATTTATTGTACTTTATGTGGGTGTGGTGAGACTTTAAATTTAGGTAGGGGGAAATACTATTTTTTTTGACATGTTACCTTCTTCCAGTTGGAATAGAATAACTCTTGCATGCATTATTATAGGGAGAAATGTATTTTTCTTGTGTTTACTGACACCTGCTGGAAAAAAATGGAATTTTGATGGAGCACTCAAGGCCTGAGTTCCACATTTTCTAACTTCAGTTTATATAAAACAGTATTTTATGAAATTTCAAAGGATTTCTTTTAAAATTATACCAAACTTTTGTATTTATTCCTATGCATGTGGTTATGGAAAGCTTTTTTAAATCGGAAGGCCAAATTAAGGCGGAAATACCCAAAATAGCCCAAAAGCTTAACAGGTCAATTTCTGATGAGCTGCTGAAACTCATCCCACACTGAAGTTGCGGTCACACTAGAGTTTGAGCATGCAACATTTTGTTGTATGGCGCTGCGAAAAGGGGCGGGATTAAACAAGATGATTAGACATTAAAAAAAGTGAGCGATTGTCCAGAGAGGTCATGTTTTGATCTTCGATTGGTCTCACACAGTCAAGTAATGCGATTTCGCAGGTCAGAGTTCACCAAGCTTGAACTCTGCAACGCAGTGAACTGCAAAACTTGACCCACAAACTTTCGTTTACAGTCTGACGGATTTGCGTGCATATGAATGGAAGTCTATGGGGAGAAAGGTCCAGTGTAACCGTGGCTTAGGTGCAAGTAAATGGTTTCTCTCCAGTGTGGATCCTCATGTGTCGGTTAAGTTGTGATGATTGTATGAAACTCTTCCCACACTGAGTGCATGTAAATGATTTCTCTCCAGTGTGGATCCTCATGTGTTGATTAAGGGATGATGATTGGCTGAAACTCTTCCCACACTGAGTGCAAGTGAATGGTTTCTCTCCAGTGTGGATCATCATGTGTTGATTAAGGGTTGATGATCGGCTGAAGCGATTTCCACACTGAATGCATGTGAATGGTTTCTCTCCAGTGTGGATCCTCATGTGTTCTTTAAGAGATGATGAGCGTCTGAAACTCTTCCCACACTGAGTGCATGAGAATAGTTTCTCTCCAGTGTGGATCCTCATGTGGTGATTAAGGTGAGATGAGCAACTGAAACTCTTCCTACACTGAGTGCATGTGAATGGTTTCTCTCCAGAGTGGATAGTCATGTGTTCATTAAGGGATGATGATTTGCTGAAACTCTTCCCACAGTGAGTGCATGTGAATGGTTTCTCTCCAGTGTGGATCCTCATGTGTCGGTTAAGTTGTGATGATTGTATGAAACTCTTCCCACACTGAGTGCATGTGAATGGTTTCTCTCCAGTGTGGATCCTCATGTGGTGATTAAGGGATGATGATTGGCTGAAACTCTTCCCACACTGAGTGCATGTGAATGGTTTCTCTCCAGTGTGGATCCTCATGTGGTGATTAAGGGATGATGATTGGCTGAAACTCTTCCCACACTGAGTGCATGTGAATGGTTTCTCTCCAGTGTGGATCATCATGTGGTGATTAAGGGATGATGATTGGCTGAAACTCTTCCCACACTGAGTGCATGTGAATGGTTTCTCTCCAGTGTGGATCATCATGTGTTGTTTAAGAAATAATGAGTGTCTGAAACTCTTCCCACACTGAGTGCATGAGAATGGTTTCTCTCCAGTGTGGATCATCGTGTGTTTATTAAGGTGAGATGAGCAACTGAAACTCTTCACACACTGGGAGCATGTGAATGGTTTCTCTCCAGCGTGGATCATCATGTGGTAATTAAGGGATGATGATTGGCTAAAACTTTTCCCACACTGAGTGCATGTGAATGGTTTCTCTCCAGTGTGGATCCTCATGTGAATCTTAAGATCGCCTTTTCTTCCAAAATTCCTTCCACACTGAGTGCAGGTGAAACGATTCTTGTCTCTCCTTTTCAAAATACCATCAGTCTGTAAATGAGTTTTTTCCTCAATTTTGACATGATGTTCCTCCTCTTTCCTCCCCTTATTCTCTTCAATTAGGTCTGAAATAAATAAAACATTAGTTTTCATTAAGTCTTAAAACTCTCATCAAAAGCGTAAAGGTGAAAAGACACTGGAAACATTGGCTACACACTGTAATTTTGATGCACATTAAATGTAAAATAAATCAGATCATATTTTGTTCAGTCCATTAACGTGTGCACATTTAAGCACACGTTTAAGCACATTTAAGTCACATTTAAGTTTCTCATAAAAGTCATTTTAGTCATATTGATAAGACACAGATTTGAAAGCTGTAAAAAGCCTATTTTTATTCGTATATATTCAGAATTACAACAAAACGTTTTTCTAAAATTTGTAAAGCAGACAGGGAATACTTATTCATTCTGTGCCTGACTGGTAAACGCATCGGGAAAAAAAAAGTTCTGAGGTAACAGTTGAACAAACAGCTGAATATTTGTCTCGCAAACATGAGACATACCTGTACAGCATCTGCATAAAGGCTGAAATATGCACCTTTCCCCTTGTGTGCTGTTGGGTCATTTTCATCCATTCTGGGTTGATTTTGTGGATTAATTTGGTCAAAACTTTCTGTGTTTTAGCAAACGGACTGATATTTTGGGACATCTTATTTTGACATAATCTAGTAAAATGCTTTGAAATAAAAAACAAATCTCTCATCCGTTTCTGTAATAGTTAAATTACAGTGAGTTCATGCATCTAGCATATTATTTTATAGCTATATTCTACTGTAACATGCTACGTCAGTTAGCATTAAATTATAAATCGACTTTCTTATAAATATACCTAAGATGGCTTGAAGTACACATATAAACCATTTATGGGCGCAGTCGTGTAAATGATCAGTTAAAGCCTTTTAATATTTATTCAGATCTTATTTTCATTCAACAGCAATAGCTGGATGCCTTCATCCATATTAGGGATTTTGGCATATATGGAATTTCTGCTCAAGTGTAAATGAAACAGGCATTACATGCATTTAAAGTGCCACAATGCCCACATCAGCCTATTTTGAGGAAAACTGAAAAAAAAAAGAAAAAATTTTCTTCTTAAGAAATAATTTTTTTGTACCATTTTTGATACAATTGTTGTTACATCAAAAATAGTAGCCTATTGAACATCAATATATAGCAAGGTAATGAATTCAGAAATTCCAGTATCTGGACAACATTACACCTTAGTTAAAAATTCTGTCCAAAAGAACATGCTTGCAGCTTCGTATCACATCGAATAACAACTCACACTATAAAATAAATTATATTTTCAGATTTGAAGACAATTACATTTTCAAAAAACAAACAGAAACTGCAAATCAGGAGGAGATCGGAGGCTCAAGAGGTATGATATGACTCATAACAGACTAGTAAATGAGAAGTGGGTTTATTTATAAATGTTTTTTCCATTTTGATGTTACGAGTTACGCTGGATCTAATCTCTAAAAGTGATATTTAATTAATCTTATTCTCTATATCTAACATAGGGCTGGACAATAATATAATATCAATATATCACGATAGATTTTTTTTTCAATAATGGTGATATGATTTTTAAACCAATTTCCGATACATTTGAGTATATGTTTTACATATTTTTTTATCATATCCATCTATCTATCTATCTATCTATATATATATATATATATATATATATATATATATATATATATATAAGGGATGTAACGGTATTGTAAATACCGTCATACCGCAAATTAATTTTTTTTCGATATTACCGTAGTCGCATGACTCGTTAAAACTATAGGTCTTCTGAGAAAATTTGCTCAGGCGAATGAAGCGAACGGGAGGTACCGGAAACTACAATTCCCATCAGCCCAGGCTTGGCCATCATCCCTTGCGGTCTGTTGTCGCTACAGATCCAGTAATGCGGAAATGGAGTGTGCTGCTAGAAGCGGGGATCAAAAAGAGCTGGAAAACCCTAAAGCGGGTGTTGTCGCCACGCGCGTACTGAATAGTGGTGTTGTCGCGCGAGTTCTTATCAGCTGTGTTGTCGCGCGCGTACTGTAAAGCGGGGACGGAGGGTGTGTCGCGTCGCGGGGGCACTTTTGATCATTTTGGAAGGGAACTTTCTATCCAAGACTAAAAAGGGCATGTGCACTGCACAGGTTGAGTCCTGTGTGTGCACGTGCCTGCAAGTTGGGGAATACGTCCCCCAATACGATAATAATCAGTCATGGGGACTGCAGAAACACAGCACACTGTTCAGATTGATACAGACATGAGACCTCTATCTCACTCATATCTTGTCCTCTCAAGTGGGGGAAAGACAATGCACAGCGTTACCCACTGCTGTCAACCTGGGCCAAGTCATATCTCTCTTGTCCCAGAAACGTCAGTCCCAAATGAGAGTTTTTTTTTTTCTGTTGCAGGGGACATTGTAAATACCCAGAGATACCAGCTTTTACCAGATTATATTTATATGATAATTTTCCTTTAAACCCATCTCTATCTAAGTAAGTGAGTGATTAAATGTTGAATATGATGAGTTTTCAACAATACTAAGTTGAAACTTTATTTTTTTACATGGTTTAATATTTTTTTGTTATTAAAATTGAAGTTCCTGTTTCAAAGCTTACAGATAGATGACTAATTTGTATGTCATTGACACTTTTGGCACTTTTTTGGAATATTTTCATAAGTTTTGTTTTTTCCTGTAAATGATTCAATAAATACTGTACCGTGACATTCATACCGAGGTATTACCGTACCATGAAATTCTGATACCGTTACATCCCTAATACATATATATATATATATATATATATATATATATATATATATATATATATATATATATATATATATATATATATATATATGATTTTCTACCTTGTATCATTTGTCACTAAATGACTTTACGTGCTCAGAATGAGCGTGATGTCACTTGCGTGATGACAGCGCTCAGAAGTTGGTTAAGCTGCTCTGTCACAGAAAGCTATAAAATGAGCGACCTGAATACAGATATAGAGGAACAAGCTTCCACAAGTAAGAATGCAGACAAAGTAGTTGATGTGGACGTTGTTCGGCTTTTTAAGTTCCGATAAACTTTTTATTTCGGCGCTCTGCAAACTGTGCGGGAGAGCGATGCCGACTAGCATCGTAAACACATCAAATAGGTTCATAAAAGTTAAAGTCAACCTGTGGCCTCACCATCCACCTTCCCGACACCAAACACAGAAGGCTGAGGCGCAGTGTAGGGTTTCGCATGTCTACACATGACTATACACATATAAATTTCTCGCATATAAACATATACTATGTTCAAAACAAGTATGACACTTGCACATATATAAATCTACTGCATGCATACACCCACATACACATGCACAGACATATAAACTCGATCCTTACATAAACTTGATCCTTGGATAAACACCCAAATTAACACACACACACACACACAAACACACACACACACACACACACACACACACACACACAAAAACTCTCTGCATGCTGGTATAGCACGCAAGGAAACTTACAAAATAAAATTCACAAATATATGTATCAGGAATCTGGTTATTTCAAAGCTGATGAAATAGAAAGAATTTGATTAATAGAGGTATTAAATCTGTTAAATAATGAAAATTTGTTATACAAAATATTAGTTTATATAAATAGACAATATAAAAAAATAGAACTATTTTATGTTAAATCTTTTAACTTAATTAGGTAATTACATACACGAAAATAGTCAGAAAGAACCCTTAAAGGACGTTTAAGATAAAAAGCAACCAGAACTTTAAATATACTCAAACAACTCTTTTCCTTTGCAAATATTAATGTAGCCTATACTCTTTTTGATTTGCTTTTTAATTATAATTATTATTCTTTTTTTTTTTTTTTTTACGATGTGGATTATGGTATTATTTTGACCAGAAATAATAAACTTCCGAAAACAGTCAAACTACTTGCTCTGCAAACAGGTGTGTTCATGACTATACATACAAATAAAAATAATAAAATGAGAAAATATGACTTTGCAACATCAAGCAGCATTAGGCATGGGCCAGTATAAGATTCTGACAGTATGATATCCTAAAATATATTTTCTTCTGAGACACTTTTAAAATATTTTTGAGCAGTAAACATGTCAGGCTAAATAATTGAAATGAATCACAGATTTCTTTACGATTTAAAACAGCCTCTTTGGTCTTTACTGCAGGAGATACTGTTGTCCTAAAAAACAAAACATTAAAAAACCTTACATATACTGTAGGAACGGTGCAGCAGGAAATGTTGGCGACTTTAAAACCTTGACTTTTCCAAACTGCGGTAAACCTTGAATATAGTTATTGCCCCATGCCTCAGCAGCATAACACTGATATTTAGGATCTAAAAATGTATTCTTTAAAAAAGTCTCAAGCAAAAAGATTCCAATGGCGCCGCCTGCTGGTACATGAAGAATATGGTCAATATTCTGCGACTGTAAAATATTTTATAACAATTAATTATTTTAGTGTCCATTTCATTCAGGATGCTAAATATTGGGGGCATCAACATTTTTTGACATACTGTAAACCAGGGTTTCTGCAGGTTTTACAAAGTTAAATTTAAGACTTTATGATATTTTTAAGACCATTATGAATGAAATTTTAGACTCATAAAGGGCTAAAGGCTAAAGAACTTTTCAAATGGCCCAGATAGAAAAGATTTTTATTTGCCCCATTAATATAAAATTTATTTTTAAAAATAAAAAAATGAACAAATGTTTTTAAAGTTTTAAAAACTATAACAAACTAAATCTATGCACAACAATCTGTCCAGGTTGATATCCACAGCAGTAAATACATGGAGCATGTTTAAACAAATGTTATTGTGAGGAAAATAATTAAACCATTATGATAAATAGAGTTAAAAAGACCTTTTTGAA